TGAAATATTACCACTGACTTGACCCAAGACTAACTTTGCAGCCTGCAAAGAACTGCAAAGAACAAAGTATTGTCTTGCAATTTCCTTTTCAAATGTTGAAAAGCTTATGTAACTAAATGTGCCCAATGGGTTCATTCCAAGTAGTGCCACTGATAATTGAAAAAAATCAGACATTTATCATCTATGGATTGTATCTTGAACAAATGTATATTTGGAGAGGTAATCAACAGAACCTGGCATTGGAAACATGGAAATCTTTTGCCACTTTTTCTGCAAAGGATGAAACTATTTCATGTCTCTTAGCCTTTTTATTGGGTTGATGTTCCAAGTGTGATACCATGCTAACTGCACCATTATCAGCAGAAGTTTTGAGTTCATGATTTATGTGAAGATAGATGCTTTTTCTGGAACCACACAGGTTGCTCTTTCTACTTCAGAGGATTCTTTGAATAGACTCAGGAAACAGCATATAAGAACTTTGTTTTCTTTTACTCCTCTAAAGATAGTGGTATTTGGGCAGGGAGCAGACATTAGTTTCAAATATAACTATACTAGGGAATAATTTGCTTTGATTATATGGTAATTTATTTAGGTTTGCAATTTGTGCCTATCTCATGAAAAATAACAAAGCATTTAAGAAAATTTTTGTAACACAGTCAAAATCCTACTAAGAAACAAGGCCAACAGTGATGAATATAATAGAGGAAAAAGGCCCATAATTATACAAGAGCTAAAGCAATTAGAATTAGAAATTGGTTTATGTTAAGTGTCTAGAAATCTAAACGATTAATTTGGAAGGAAACAGTGGAACATTTTTATAAAAAAAACTTTCTGAATGTTCCCCGTAAATGAAATAGATAACAAATATCATTCCTAATGCTATCAAATGTAAAAAGTCATTGAATTGAGTGTCTTAAAATATGTTCTACTGATTAAATTGATGTTTTTCTAAGATAAAAAATGGAAATATTACTGAATCTAGGGCACTGTCTTATTCCAATAGCATATTAGTCTTCTGTAAAGGAAGTTGGGTATGGCTATTATACAATGATAGGGCTGGAGTGGGGAGGTAACTCTCCCTAGACCCTCTTGCTGAGCTGCTCACAGAACTCCCTGTAATGATGAATATCCTTCCTCAGATATTTACATACTATAAACTCCCAGCAGTGAACTCAGAGCATCCTTCTTCAGCTAGTGACTCCCACTGTGAACAGAAATCTTTCCACTGCTGAATTTCAGTATTTTCAACACTGAAGACAAGCAGTGATAAATCTTGGATTCAAGGAAAATAGTTATGACTAGAAAATATCTAATTGCCATTGCTTTATTTTTTTATTGATTTGATCATACTGGAAATATTTTAATTTTCACAAAGCAGAATGCAAAAAGATAACTTAAACAAACGCTGGTGTTTCAGGCTTGATGAGGACTTTTTGTCTATCTCAGGAAGAACTTTGAAAGAAGTAAAAATCTTCCAATGTGATAAATTGGTAAGACAGATTTTCATGTCATGTAGGGCTAAGCTAGGACCACAACTCAGGTTCCCCTATCCCCCAAGCTGGTAACAGAAGATCTTCCATACTGGGGAGAGCTGGGTGGCAGTTGGGGCTTCAAGACTCAGACTGGGATCACTTCATCACTTCTCCCTGTGCCTCCCCAGGGCTCCATGTCATATTTAAGCAGCCCATGCTCCCTACTTGTAACTGAGGGCCACCAAAATTGAGAGCAACCTTCACTCTAAGCCATTAAGAAATGATAAGGCACAGTTAATAGGCCATAATTTGATATTTCTGTATTCTGTTCCCCAGGGTCCCCTCCTAAGTTCTTACCTAGGAAGAAACATGAAATTGCACATAAGACTGTGTATTTCATAGAAACAAAAGAATGAGCTCATTTTCCCTGTACCTCCCTGTAATTTAAGGCAGTTTGTCTTCCTAGCTAGAAATGAGGTTGCTACTCACAGATCAGAGATGTTGCCTTCACTGGCTTGCACCATTGGGATATGGACATGTGTACAGGGCTGGCTGCAGAATTTGTGTGTCCTGGTGCAAAATAAACATGTGGGACCTCTTGTTAAAAATCTAAGGAATTTCAAATCTTCAGCAGATGATCATTAACCAAAGGTGGGGAATTTCTGAGTAGATTGCTGGGTGGCTGCAGAGATGGCATGTCTGCAGAGCCAGATCTGCACAGGCAGGATGCTCTGAGGATCAGAAGTTAAAGGCCTCCAAGCAGACTCTTGCCTTTGCCTGGCCTCTGCAGACAATGGAGATTGTAAGAAGATAAGGAGAATGTTTGGGGTGACATCTCTGGGAGAAGGGGGGTGGCCAAGGACAGATTCCTCCCTAGTGGTTCTCCTGGTCCTGATGTGCCTGGAGTTGGGTACTAGAGGGCCCAAAGATCAGAAAATAGATAATGACAGGAGGATATTGGAAGGAAGAAAGGATCTAATATGCAAGAGCATGCTGGAATTGAAGAAGGGGTAGACACAAGACAGGGGTTCTGGGCAGGGAATTATCCCCATTGCGTTTTCATTGAATCAACTATATATGTATTTGTGTGTGTGTGTGTGTTTATTTGATATACACACACACATACACACACATGCACGCATGCACGCACACATTATTTTCTTATTTTTAATGAAGTGTAATGCATCAAATTCAGATAAATTAATTTAGATAAATCATTTTTTTCCTCTAACCTACTCCTCCCATTTCTCTACCTTGGTAATTTTTAATCACTGTCTTCCTCATTGATCAAGGCAGAAACAAGGAGTCATCTCTGACACCTCTCTAATATACTATCACTTCTACTATCAGTGTCTCTCTTTAGCCAAAACAGGTACTTTCCATGGATGCGACCATTATTCCTGGCCATGACTGACAACACAATTTTCAATTCTTTTTTTTTTTAAGAGAGAGTGTGTGAGAGAGAGAGAGAATTTTTTAATATTTATTTATTTATTTTAGTTATCGTCAGGCACAACATCTTTGTTGGTATGTGGTGCTGAGAATCGAACATGGGCCGCACTCATGCCAGGCGAGTGCGCTACCACTTGAGCCACATCTCCAGACCACACTTTTCAATTCTTGCCTTTTGCACCATGCAGACAGAAATTTGAGTCTTCCTTTTGCACATATTAGCTGGGTGACTTCACTGAACCTCAGTTTCCTCTTCAATAAAGTGAGAATAACACTACTTATCTTTAAGTGTTATTGCAGAACTTGAAATGAGAGTAGGGCTTTACCATCATCCTTCCTTTTGTATCCTCAAGCCATAGTTTAAATGTACCGTTTTTTAACTATTAATAAAAAAGCATTTAATATTACCACTTGATTTTGTGTCGAAAATATAGTTGTAAGCTATTAGTATATTAGGACTTCATTTTCCATATCTCCCTTTATTTTTCCAGATCATTTCTGCCAGCATTGGAAATGTTGGCCTTGTCCAACTCATTGTGTTAAATTCCTAAACAAACTTTCAGGTATGAGAATGACCTGGCTGTATGCCAGACTGGAGTCTGACATCATTGGCCTGTACAAGGTACTGGATGAGCTAATCCTGGCCAGAGGTGACCTGGAGATGCAGATTGAGAACCTGACTGAAGAACTGGCCTATCTGAAGAAGAACCACAAGGAGGTCAGAAGTTGTTTCTTTCCTCCAAGACCCCAAAATTACAGTTTCAAGTTTACAAATCTGGAGTTAAAATATGTCCTGTTAAAGTGGTCACTTGTTTTAGATGTGCCTGTGTGAACATTACTGCTGGTGCTGTTGATAATGGTTCCGACTAAGGTTTAACAAATTAGAGGAACTTTCTGATTTTATCATTTTCATTCTTAGGTAATGAATTAGGTAATGAGAATTCTAATTATCATGATTTAGTGATTTTGAAAATAATATATGTATGGTATTTCAAAAGTTAGAAAATAAACAAGTCTATCAATAATACAAAATGCTATCTATGCCATACATGGAACTCTGAGTGGCCATGGTGTATATTAGGGGCTGGTGTAGAGAATGGACACAGGCAGTAAATTCCTAAAGGACTCCACTAAATTTTCAATGACTCTGCAAACCCTGCAGACCTAGGCACTGTTTTCAGCCCTCAGTTTGACAACTATAGTTGAAATCCTTCCAGCAACATGCTTACCAGGCCTCCCCTTCCTGTACAGATAGTGGACTCTCTAGAAAAAGGACCAACTAACCCTTATGGCCCATAGGTGCAGCATGTAAGGTCATAGTCACTAAAAGGACCAGTGAAAATATCTTAAGTTTTTTTTTTATCATGTTCAAATATATTGCCCTTTTTTTGTTCTAATTAGTTACATATGAGAGTAGAGTGGATTTTGGCACTTCATGTATCATAGAGTATAACTTCTCATTCTTCTGACTGTATATGACATGAAATTACAGTGGTTGTGTTTTCATATTTACACATGAGGTAATAATGTTTGATTTATTCTCCTAACCCACCTACTTCTATACCCCCTCCTCCTTTCATTCCCCTATATCTAATTTAAAGTGTCTCTAGGCTTCCCTAGACACCTTCCCTTACTGTGAACTTGAATCTACATATCAGAGAAAACGTTTGGTCTTTGGTTCTTTGGGATTGGCTTATTTCACTTAGCATAGTATTCTCCAGCTGTATTCATTTACCAGCAAATTCCATCATTTTATTCTTTATGGCTCAGTAACATTCCATAACATATATATACCACATTTTATTTATCCATTCTTCTGTTAAAAGGCACCTAGTTTGGTTCCACAGTTTAGATATTGCGAATGGAACAGCTGTAAACTTTGATGTTGCTGTGTTACTTTGGAGAAGTGAGATAACTGGGTCAAAAGGTGGTTCCATTCCATTTTTTTCTGAAGAATATTCATCATGCTTTCCATATGGTTGCACCAATTTCCATCCCCACATGCCCTGTTTGAGTGTACCTTTTTCCCCACATCCTCAACAAAATTTATTGTTGCTGATATCCTTGATAGTTGCCAGTCTGACTGGGGTGAGATAAAATCTTAGAGGAATTTTGATTTGCATTTCTCTAATCTCTAGAGATGTTGAACATTTTTTCATATATTTGTTTATTATACTTATTCTTCTCTGACATGTCTGTTCATTTCCTTTGCCCATATATTGACTGGATTATTTGGTTTTTAGGTGGAAAGATTTTTGAGTTCTTTATATATCCTGGAGATTATGCATATGATAACTATTTTGTCACATTCTGTAGACTCTCTCTTCATCTAAATGATTGTTTCCTTTGCTATTAAGAAACCTTTTAGTTTAATTCGATCCCATTTATTTATTATTGATTTTACTTCTCATGCTTTAGGAATCTTGTTAAGAAAGTCAGCTCCTAAGCCAAAGTGATGAAGAATTGAGCCTACTTTTTCTTCTACTAGGCACAGGTTGTCTCTTCTAGTGTGTAAATTCTTGGTTCAATTTGAGTTGAGTTTCTCACAGGGTGGGAAACATGTTTAATTTCATTTTGCTACATATAGATTTCCATTTTCTCAGCACCATTTGTTGAAGAC